TCTACGTGTACGAGCGCAAAATTTCACATGCACTATTTTCGCYGGTYDCYTAGCTGGAGGAGGGCAAGCGATTGTCGCCTCACCGCACAGGCTCCATAGGAAATGAATTGAGAGCGAGCGACGTCGCCTCCCGTGTGTCGAGACCTTAAGTTAGGTGGAAACTTTGACGTTCCGCATTTGAATGTTCTCTGGTCGGCAGGTAAAAGCTGCCACTGAAGGCCGGACAACTGTTCGTGTGGATTCATTTTTGAAACTTCAAATTCTCAGCAGCTTGTTCTAGTGTTCAATAGTGGTGTCTCCAGAATTTTCTTTTTTAATAGGTGGGAGTTAGAAAGTCCCTCTGAAAGTCCATGTTTAAAGGTGGCAATAGGAGTTCTAGTAAATTTATAATTCACTCTGGAAGTTATGTAGTCATGCAACTGGAAAAAATAGACTTGAACTGAACGAAGGTGCACACATGTTAGGGTTGGGCAATACTGGCAAAAAAAAAATCACAATTAATTGTGGTATTTGGCCGATAACGATTAATTTGATGATTAATCCCCTGGAGTCCCTGCACACCCTTATGTCCTAGTCACATGACAAATTGTGTCAAAATTACAGACTTTAGGCTATACATCTAATTTTAAATTGTGTTGATAGATAAATATATTACAGAACTTTTTTTTAAATTTGACTAGGACATAAGGGTGTCCAGGGGATTAATCGTCAAATTAATCGTTATCGGCTAAATACCACAATTAATCGTGATTTATTTTTTTTGCCAATATTGCCCAACCCTAACTTGTAGCATTTGAAACCTAACTAAAAGAGAAATTGATGTTGGTCAGACTTGTTCTCTCTTCAGGCTGCACATCAGAAACCGTCTGGGTTCCACTTCTGAGTTTCGTCTTGTTTTTCCTCAACACAGTGCTATTAACTTTAAATAATATATATTTTGTTAACTTTTTTAATGGATTCAGAATCGTTCATATCCACATTTTGATTTATTAAAAAGAAGAACAGAAAAGATTATACCCCCCTCACCAAAATGAACCATGGTAATTGCAGAAGTCTGTGTGCAACAGTGGCAGGAAGTTTCCACACAGTGTGAGGTAACAGCGCTGTAGTGAAACAGTTTGTCAGAACCAGTACAGCTGTTCTGTTGTGCCACACTAACCAGATTACACAACAAGGAGAAAGGGATTTTCCACTTGCTCAAACTTTTGTCTTTTTTGTAAYTTAAATACAGTTGCAACTAAAACTGATCCTTGTAAATGCAACCGCTGACTGACAGTAAAGTTTGACTCAGGGCTGGCTTGTGGCAAATGCAACATGTGCCATCCATCTGTGGGGTGCCACAAATTGGGGTCTGTGAAAATAGAAAACTAACATTTTATCAGAGTATAGTTGATTTAGTCTGTAGAATAGGGTTTCTCAGCCTGCTTTCTTACATGAGGATATTTCATGTAACATTTTAGTGTGGAAACAGAAAACAAAATAAGGATAATGGAAGTTTCAGCTACGATCTCAGATAAAGTTCTACCTTCATAAAATACTGATTTTATGATGTTTTTTAATCCCAACAATTTAACAAAATTCTCTTCAAATGTCTGGAAAACGAATAGTTTTTACAGATCTTTACTAAATATTCCAGGGGAGTATACCCYTGCCCCCCTAGAACTGCTCCACTCCACAGCTGCTCGTTAACATGAACAGGTGTTCCTCATTTCTGTCAGCAGATGTTGGCAGGTATTGAGATGGACATATTCTGTTTCAAATAAACTATATTTTTAACTGTTTAGAAACCAGCTTGTCTAGGGGGGCCAGGTTCCTGCTTCAACACAGCTGATTTCAACAGGCTGTAGTTGAACTGCAGTCATCTGAATCWGGTGCGTTAAAACAGGGAGACCTCTAAAGCATGCAGGGTAGTGGTGGAAATTTTGTAACCGATGAATTGAATGTTAGATGCAGTTTTGTATTTTATAATTCCTGATCATTTCAGCCTTTAAGGTTAAAGCAGACAAAGAGTTGGTGTGTGTCTTATCATGTGTTCTTTCTTTAGTCTAAACAAAAATGAGTTATGTTCTGATGTAAAAGGTAACGCCTCCAGAGGTGTAACCAGGAAGAGAAATATATTATAAGGTCAGTTCATTATTATAGTATAGAAGTTGTCAGTGTGTTGCAGAGTCTCTGCTCAGAGCAGAGCTCCTGTGTTTTGTTTTGGTTCAGCTCAAGGTCTTACTGAGGCCTGCTGAGTGCTGCGCTGTGAACCTGATTGCTCTTTCATTTCACCTTACGATCACATTTGATTTCAAATGAGGATAATATTAAACATGTTTATGCAAATGACAAAAACATTAACAACACAACCGCTTTAAATTGTTATACCGCCTGATTTTTGTTTAAAACTTWATTCCATTCTCTCACTTCGTCCGCTGTTAGAAGCCAAATAAAATCTCCGGTCGGCCCRCAGATAATCTTGGGATCGGGTGGATTGAGAAGGATCCACCGGACCTGCTCCTCAAATTGAATTTGGACAGCCTGTGGCGAGTCGCAGTGATGTAACGGGCTAACAAAATCAGCCTTCAAATCAGCTGATATCACTTGTTTATTTTTGTTTTTGTATGATCAATAAACATTATGATTCTTGAGAAATCCTAAAAAAAGTTTAGATTTACGATTGTTTCAAACACTGCCAGAAACTACCTTCGACCCTTTACTGTTCCTTTGTGTGAGGAAAAAAAATCAACCATATCAAAATCCATTATAAATGCATTTTTTTAAATCCCATATTTATCATGTAAAATAAAACAATGAAAGTATTCTGTTTAGTTTTTCTGAACTACGTTGGTAAAACACAGGTCCTTCTCAAAAAAATTAGCATATTGTGATAAAGTTAATTATTTTCTGTAATGTACTGATAAATAT